CGAGTGGAGTTTCACTGATCCCAAGAGCATATTCAGTGGTACCCAAACAGTTCAAATAAAGCAGGATTTTTTGAGCGAGCCGTGTGAAGTTGAGAGCTTGTTCAAACCAGTAGAAATATTCCACTTAGATAAACAGAGCCTGGGTGGCCTTGATTAATCCTAAAACCAGTGATCCCAGTGGTTGAAGAGGGTGAGAAAGTCAGACATAGAAACTGAGGTAGAGAGAAATCAACAGGCTAGTGAGTCACAATAATCCTCCACGGCTATGATACAAAAGAAAACCCACAAGTAAAGGCAAGGCTGCAACACACTGACACACACAATACCTCAGAGAGGCAATCACTCCACACCTAATCTACCCCCCCATATAATTGTCACGCATCCACTCACTGAAAGTCCACAATAAAACTTCAAACAGGAAAGAAAATGGTATTGCAATGAAGTCAGCCGACTCCACTGTAAATTGAGTTGAAGTCTTTTAATGTTTTGCCAGAAGACCTGAGGTTATAATATGCCTCCATTCCAACACAATGACTGTCTGTCTGAGAGGTCGCTCACTGTCACCCACCCCCACATGGCTTGGCTCGTGTGTGTGTGTGTGTGTGTGTGTGTGTGTGTGTGTGTGTGTGTGTGTGTGTGTGTGTGTGTGTGTGTGTGTGTGTGTGTGTGTGTGTGTGCGTGTGTGTGTGTTGCTGAATACGTGCAAACCTACTCAGTCCTCATTAACCCATTGCCTCACTGCCAAGAGTATTTCGCTCAAACCAAAACTATTGTCCTCTTTGGCAAAGTAACATAGTTGAACAAAAGTTGTGAGTTCAGGTTTTCAGTGGTGATGCAAACGAAGAAAAAAGCTTTCTAAAAAGTGAAAAAGTGTGCAGGAGTAATTGGCAACAGGTCCTCCCACAGTCCAGTTTTTTCCCCCTTTTCTTCTTTAACAACCAACTTGTTGCCGTTAGCTTCTCGCTCTGTTTGGAAGCGTTGCGATGGCAGCGGAGGCCCACATTCTTCATGCACAGGGCGAAATGAGATAGGGAGACAGGAAAAGCGGGAAGGGGAAGCAAGGAAGAAAGAGAAAGAGTGACTGAATAGGTGAATGAGTAAGTTAGTTTTGTGCGTGTGTGACAGTCTGACAGCAGACAGTTTTGGCTCTTTAGCATCTCAAAGCATCTGGCCTCAATTCGGACTTGAGAGGCTGCTGGAGAGTGGGGTGAACGAAGCATATAACTGCAGAGAAAACTCACAAAGTCCCTGTGGGGGTTGACAGGGAGAGCAGCCAGCAATCTATTGAAATGGGATGCAGTAGACGTCAATGACATGATGAAAGTGGCGACAGAGCCTTGTGAAAACACTATGGTCGTTCAGGGACTCAAACGCCAATCACACGCTTGTTTATGGGTTCAGTTTGAAGTAAATTGTTCTGTTCATTTCGACACAGACTACATAGCGAGGTTTCATCAATATTCAGTCAAGATAAAATCCTTACAATTTGATAACGCTTCATACATTCCAGACTTTCAGTGAAGTGTCGATACTTTGTATTGGGACATTTGATATCAACGTGTTTATCCAAAGAACACCTATTTTAATTCGTTGTTTGCTTTCTTGCCAATACATTAGAAAATAAGATTGACACCTCTGAGCATGAAGACTTTCCTGGCTTTTTCCAAATGTTACAACATTCAATCTACAAGATCCTGTAAATATAATGAATGAATATGTTTTATCTTATTTGCTTGACTTTGTTAAAGAACCAAATGGAAAGATTACAAGTTGTGATTTAATGGGGCTGTATTAACCTGAATTATTTCTCGATTGAGAGCAGAGACTTCCTGGAGTCAGCGCTAGTTGACAATCTAAAGCAAATAATAAGTAAATAAGTTAGTGAATCTGACCATTTGATGCTTGTTCTTAATACTTGATAGTATTTTTTATTCTGTATGCTATCAACCCATATCAGTGAAGAGTTTCCATCCCCCGCCCGACACAGCACTAGAGCTGGAGAGTGCTGGCATTGGAGGAAATTGAGGTAACAGTAAGTGAAAAAGGGAAATATGACTGACATTCCTGGTCAGCTCCAAATGTTGGATTTTCCAAGAGGTTTTTCCAGCCACAGACAGTTATCCAGCGGCGGTCAGTGGTCAGACCCGCAGACACTGAAAATACCAAGAATGCCGGTGGTAGAGACTCAGAGATTAGTCTGGCCAGAGGACTACTGTTTGTCAGGATCAATGACCACTTCAGCTTTTACTCTTTGATTTGTTAATAAAATACTCAGGTACAGCTCTGAGCTCTTCTGCGTGATGTTCACTGGAGTTTATTTAAGAAAATCAGGGTCCTAAGACTGTTCTGGCTTCTCATTGTCCCAAATGTAGAGAGAAGAGTTACGTTTTCCCTCCTAAACTTCCCTTCCTTCCCCCCCTGCTGCTTTGGCTGCATGAGCAGTGAGATCCATTGTTTCAGTTAAACTGAGGGCAGAGAGCAGTGAGAAGGAGCCTGTTATCTCACACTGAAGGCAACAACACTTTGACTGACAATGTGACCCACAAAAATGTGAGGGAGGATAAGGAGGAGGGGGGCAGTGAGTCTTGATTTTCAGGAGAGCGCTTTACTCCGAGGCTTCGTTGAGGAGAAGTAGGCCACAATATCTGTTTAGCAAATGTGTCAAAGCTTAGTGTGGAATCACAGAATATAACACACACACAATGATACAACACACACTGACAGTGATACTAAATACAGTCGGGCAAATGAGTTCCACAGAAGCGATTACATAAGCAGCGACGCCTCACTTTAACTGTGCCAGCTTCGACGTATAATTCACTTCCACTCATCTGAGAAAATATCTGACATGGCAGAGAAGCACATGTGCAGACGTATTCAGACACACTGCCCGTGCCGCTGTAAACTGGAGGAATATGGAGGGGGGGGGGGGGCAGACTGGTGTGGAAAACTCTCATTCAGCAAACTGAACAGAAGCCAGGCTGATGTCTAATCTCTCTGTGTCTCTCTTTCAGACGTCCCGCAGCGCTCCACTATACTCCTCAATCCAGGATTTACATAAATACCTGGCATGAAATGTGTGCCAAACAAGGTCAATGGAAAATAATATAGCCAGGGTTGGAAGTCAAATTGAATCCGAATCCAGTATTGAATCCTTTAACGTGTCTGTTTGGTGCTAATGAAGCAAATAAGACGATCTAAGGCAAAATGCCATATCTTGTGATGTAAACGAAAGGAAACATCATTTGTGTATCTGCCCTGTGATTCAGAACCACTACGAAAGTTGAAGGGGATTCTTACTTGCTACATCCTTCCTTTAATTTGCATGACAATCAGGTCAGTAGTTATTCAGTTATCCTGCTCAAAATATACCAACAAACAAACCAAAAGGAAAATATAACTTCTTTGAGGGAGGTAAGGGTGAATGCAATAAAGTATTTGTTTTGCCGAACCTAACACATTTATTTTACCAACCTAATCCAGGCTATGGGACCCTAAAGAAAAAGGATGAAAAGTAAGGAAAAACTGAGGTAAAAGAGATCTCACTCTATACTATATGGAGCTACTTTACCACCTTTAATGATGTTCATATACACATCTGCACACACACAGGAAGTCTGAGTCAACATGGCTGGAAAGGGTTACGTATGTAACCGGCAACACGTGACACACATTTACCTCATTTGTTTTGTTCAGAGCAGATGAGGTCACCCATCTTCTCGGCTATCTGTCCGCCACTCTCACTCCCCTCGAATTAAACTTAATGTCAGCGTTTGTTTCTTGACACCTGCCCATTTAAAGCCATTTTGTTTATGGAGTGGAACGTCACTCTGTATGACCCTGCCAAAATCCAGACTACGTAATTACAGTCTTGTCTTAAATGAAACCTCAACATGACACGGTCAAACAGCTACTCTGAAAAGTTGAGTGAATAGAAGGCCCTCAAACCGCCTTGACTATAAACATATCTGCTGACACGTCACTCTTGGGTCCATAACAAACTTGATGAGAAACTACAATATGTGGCCCAGGGCACACGAGGAGTCTTGTAATTACACGCAAAGGCAAGACAGAAGAGAAACAACTGCAGCCCGTGTCTCCAAAAGTGCTTCGTCATCAAAAAGATTCCCTTTTGAGCCTTCCGGATAAAAACATGTTTCGTATGGGTCACACTTCTGAGATGCAGCCTAATTGTCTGCTCTGGAAGAAATGTATCTGCTGCCTCATGCTCTTTCTTATCTTGAATGTGAGAGTGCGCGCAGACAGATTGAAAAACACCACCCTCCTCGTCCTCTTTCTTCTTGGCTCTTCCAGGCCAACTGTCCAGAGGGTGAGACAGCTTTTCCAAAGGCTAACGTTTCAAATCAATACCCCAACGGCCTGAAATGAGCAGATTACCCAGGGTTTGGATTAGAAAAACCTGGGCTCACAAACACCCCCAAAAACTCATCATCCCACCTCAACAAATCCCAGTGAATCTGTTTGTCCCAGCTGGAGCAGGCCAAAAGGCTGCAGGGTCAGCTACAGTCGTAACCACTTTAGAACCTAACTTCATGTCAGCTGACTCTGAATCATCCAGCTGTCTTCAATCTCTGGCAACATGACAGGAAACCAGGTTTTCCAGGGATCATTATGTGAACAGTTGAATGAACAGTTTATCAGTATTTAAGAAAATATCTCTGACATTCCTAAACTAATCTCAAATCCTGTTAAAATAGGGACGTGTGCATGACTGGGCCTGCCAAGCAACTTTTGTCTCCAACTCTTTCCGTTACACACCTTCCATTATTAGCCTTTTGGCAACTGACACCCTCTTAAGTGGCTTCACACTGACTTGCTCATGAATACAAAGTTCCCTTAGGCACATTTTTCCCTCATTTTGACAAAGCCAAACTGGAATAAAGGGTAAGGTAAAGAGAGCCTGATTTTGGAGAATGTAAGACACACACTTATGCAGACACACAGACCAACACACACTCTCTTACTTGCTCCACACTCACCCCAGTGAGAGCCCTGCATTGTTGCCTTCACTTGTCTTCGTCTCTCTTGGAAGAAAAATCACTCCAGTTCTCTGTTGGCTCAGATTCTCCCTGTTTCTCCTTCTTTTCTCCCGTCGTCTACCTCTTTTCTACAAAACTCCAGCTTCCTGCCGTTGCATCTGCAGCGCACCAAGACTTCATATCCCTACACGAGGACTTTCAAATGGAAGCCCCCTTATTTTCCGGTCCTCTCCTCCTCTCTCTACTCACTTCACTCCACTGTTCCTCTTCTCAGCTTTCCTTCCCTGCTGTCTGCCTTAGCACCGCCTCCCCTTCCTCCTCCTCCTCCTCCTCATTCCTCCCTCCCCTCTCTCACTTTTGTCTGCCAGCCCCCCTGCCTCTAGTTCCCCTCTTTGAACACACACACAACTCTCCTCTGCCTCGCTCTCCTCCCCCTTCTCTTTTTAGACTGAGCTTCATCCATCCCCTTCTCTTTCACACACTTTGCATCAACACAATCCTGTGTCAGATTGAACATTTCCGAGAAAATATGATCCACTTTGTGTGGAAGCTAAATGGCTCACAGGCATTTAGGGAAACACCTCCTCTCATCCCTAGTCAAGCATCCAAGCCTTTAGCTAAATTACAGTGCAGTTATCAAACACATCGACTACATCAAGGGCTGCAGTCGCTACAGAGAGGGGGGGTCAATACACTCCAACTTACATAACATGTTTCTGCTCATCTTTGTTCCTGCACACTCCACATGCTATGTTGTGCAGTGCATTAATCGGCCGTCAACAGACCGCGGGGACTGAATGAGTGGAAAGGGAATTAAAAGGTATTTTGAGTGATTCGTTGAAGCTTAGAGGTCAAGTTGAGAGGGTGAAGGTGGAACAGTGTGTGCAGTGCAATAGGCATGCTGTTGCTATATTAAAGCAGCAAATAGACATTATATTTATCTTTCAATCAACCAGTTGATACATCCTTATGTCTTGTGACACAGCACTTAAGAAGCTTGACAAGTCATTTTTTCATGATTTTGTACGCTATGCTTATGGCAATGTTGACTTTTGGTCAGTCCATTACTTTTATTGAAAAACTCTTTCTTTATCTGTATAAATATTTCCATGGTGATCGGAGGCCGAATCCTTATTAGGTGATTTTCTAACATTTCCTCTAGCCGCCATTACCGTTTTTAGTGCTGAATAGCAAATGTGAGCATGCTAACAAACAAAACTAAGATAGTTAACATGGAGAACAAATGTCATATAAATCAGCTTGTTAGCATTTGCATTGTTTAAACACTGCATGCTAAGTGGTACACAACACTAACTACTCTTGTGCGCTTCCATGGAAAACCAGTAGGAGGACTGAGTAATGCTGGAGGAGAGGGGTTTTGTGTGTGTGTGGGTTAGTGTGTGTGTGTGTGTGTGTGTGTGTGTGTGTGTGTGTGTGTGTGTGTGTGTGTGTGTGTGTGTGTGTGTGTGTGTGTGTGTGTGTGTGTGTGTGTGTGTGTGTGTGTGTGTGTGTGTGTGTGTATTTCTCTCTCACCTTTTCTGGAGAAACTACCCCGTACCTCCCTCTGGGTCCCACGCTAACAAGTGAGAAGAGAGTTCACTTCTGTTCACTGACTTGGCACTTTACTGCCATTAACACAGCCCACCTCACCGAAAATAAAACATCAGAGAGCTTTTTAGTGTTTTCCAAGTGTGTGTATGTGTGTTGAGTGTGTGACTCAGCAAGACTCTTTATCTCAGCCTTCGAAAAGGTCATATTAACTTATTATACCATCTGTCCAGCCTGACATATTACTCTCATGTTTTAAAAGTCCTGGTCAATATGCTCATTCTCTAGTTTGCGTTTTGTGCCAAGAAGTTAGCATACAGCAGATGAGAGTTTATGAGAGCTTCTGAGAACTTCTGCTGCTGTAAACAATGTGATGACAGCAGTGAGACAGTGAGAAGTATGTTCATTTTCTCAAACATTGAGACTACTTCCTGCTACGAGTGGATTTGCCCCCTTCTGGCCATAAAGAGGAATGCAGGTCTAATGCAATTTGAAACTTCTCACACTCAGAGGTTGCTGGTTGGACTGAACCAAAACCATACATCTGCAGTCCTTTAAATCAGAACACAGAGGTTAAAAACTCGATCCTTCACATAACATATAGTATTTGTATCCAGTGTTACCATCAAAGTCGGGATTCGGCAGATTTCCTTGTAAGAAACGTGAATCAACCAAAATAAAGTAAAAAGTTAGACTTTTTCTCAGTCTTTTATCCTTTGAAAGTGACTTTGCCCAAGCAGGCGGTGGGTATTGTTGTGGGACGGCTAATGAAGGAAGGGGACAGCTGGGCTGGACTGGAGGAAGACAGAGAGCAGAGGAGACGGCAGATCTGTAATGGAGACGCTGGAAAGAGGAGAGGAAGACAGCTGCTGCACTATGGACCACACATTATTATCACCCCACATATCTTACAAACACTGCCCTTTACTGTGAGGCCTTAAGAGGATAGAAATGATAAGGAGCTAGAGTTTGGCGTCTGCTCGTGGCCCAAAACAAAACACAAAAACATTGTTGTAGCTATCCAAAGCAGATTAACACATGAGTTTAATGTGTTAGTCATTAAACTCATGTGTTAATCGTTCATTTTTGAGGAAGAGGAAGTGTAGAGAAAAGTATTTTTGTGGCAGCAGTAAACAGACTTCCCTGATTTCTTCGATGCTTTGCTGTCATCCGGCTGCCGTATGGAACAACACAGTCTGAGCCTCAAATTCCTGACCCCCATGACCCCTCATCTCCCCCCTTGACCCGGCATCTCCTCTAAACCCTCTCCCACCGTGTCACACACTCCAAATGCCATCCATCTCAAAACCATATCCCTAAACGGACACTTCAAAGTCAGAGACCCCCCCCATTTCCATAAATGTCTGTCTGACAAAGTGACCACAGCGGGTCACTCCAAACTGAGCCCACACCAAGAAGAAGTCAGACCATTGATCAATGTCCCCAGTGCCCCCGAAAGACAGGAGAAAAAAGAACAACAACGACAGGGAGGGAGAGAAAGTGAGAAAGAACAAAAGGCGTAGGACAAGTGGGGGACGGATGAGTCAGCAAATACTGAAGGTCAACGTCGTCAGAGGAGGGTTTTGTCTGCAGAGGGGGTTTTTACTTTTTTCTTTACCTCAGAGTGTCGCCCAGCGTCCAATGCCTGAATGTCCGGGGGAGACGGGGAAATGGCAGAGTGCAAACATCCCAAGACCTTGCTCCTCTTTGAGCCTCTTCTTCTTCACTGTGGCCTATAGAAGAAACACAAAGCAAAACTGTGAACCTGTTGATTGAGAATTAAACCAGTGTTTGCAGCATTTACATTAGATTAAACCTGCCACAGGTCTAATATAATGGTAGGAAAGCGGGAACATGTTGTAAATACAACACTGACATTTCATCACCTTATAGCCAACTTGACTTTCTTTACTAAGTTGTGGGCTGGACATAAACAACAGTGAAATCACTGACCTTTTTGGTAGGGCTGTGCAATTAATCGTATTTTAATCTCGATTACGATTTTGGCTTGCAACGATTACGAAAACAACGTAATCGAAATAAAACGATTATTATTTTTATTAAAAAAAAAAAAAAAAAAATTATTATTATTTTTTTTTATTTATTTTTTTTTGGTTTTTCAGTTGAATTATACTTAATGTTCAGGGTAATCAACTGTTAAAAACATACTGTTCACATTTTTGTTTCAATAAATGGATGTTTTCAAAGTAAATGGATAATCGTTTTTAATAATCGTGATATCAATTATTGACCAAAATAATCGTGATTAGGATTTTTGCCATAATCGCACAGCCCTACTTTTTGGTACAAATGTTAACCTAAGGGGAAGGGGAGAGGATACAATCAGAGAAGATGATCAAATGAAAGCAGGTAACAAGGCAGTAAAGCTTGGTGATATATTGATTTGAGTTGTTATGTAAGATCCTGATTTAGTGCTGGTTTTATGAGCTGCATGAGAGTTGATTAAAACAAGTCTCTGAGCTTATCTGCCTTCAGATGAGCAGTGAATTCCTCTCTGTGTAATTGCTCATTGTGTCCACATTACTCATGTTTTTATCCTCAGAATATCTTTGTGAAGTGCCAAGGTATTTTGTGAAGAAGAAAAAGTTTTAAAGTTAGATTTCATCAGTATTGCCTCCCCCTGGTGTTCAATAACAGAAAACATAATGTATTGTTTTCAATTTGTACTCTAGAGGGTTTTATCTCCTTTTCCCAAAAAGCCAATTAACTATTTTTCCTTTATTCTTTTTTATCGTCTGATCTCCCTCTCCTTTCTCTCTGCTCTCTACAGAAACAGTCGATGAGGTAATCAGTCAGCTTGTTACAGTCTGATAAGTGATACGATGCCATTATTGATTTTGGCCCCATGCGTCCCAGTGCAGAGGTCAGTCTGAGCCTCACAGCTGCTTTCAGGAACCATGAACAGATGCTGACTGCTCTATTTCACAGCTTTTTTCATGAACAGGCAGACTATAGAAATATGGACAGTCACACAAAAGTATTGGCAAGGCAAATTGTATCAAATGGAGCTTGATGTTGTGGTTTGGCTGCGCAGGAAATCAACTGTTCGGCTCAAACTTTGAACAACAATGGATGATAACATAATATGGCTTTCACACGAATAGCATAATGGCATTATTATTATCATTATTATTAAAAAACGTGCAGAAGAGTGCATTGTTTTTACCGGAAACAACCGTAGAGAGAAAAGCAAAAAAGAATAGAAGCTCAGGCTTTTATCCAAACCACTGGCTATAGAGATGCTACAAAATTGCTAATTACATTTTGAAAGCGGGACATAATGCACAACCTTCTTAACTAAATCAATACAATCCATTACATTCAGAACATTTGATCACATAAATTGATTAACCTTACAGCTCTGGTGCAGCTGGCTGACGTTTTTAAGAAGCTCAAATAGAATCAATAAGAAGCAAACACGAAATGCAACTCAGTGTTAGTTTGTCAACAGAGAAACTTCAACATTTATGAATGGACTTCAAATGAAATCCGGAGGTCAGTTCGGCTTCAAGCCAATGAACAACTGATTAAAGTGGCAATCAGAATCTGGGATTCCTGCCATTAGATGATTATTGTGTTCCAGCCTGAACTGTTGGAGGCCTGATTTGATGGCCATGTGCCTTGTAGTTGATACTGTGAACACCACACTCAATCATCTGAAGCTGAGCATGCAGACATCGGTCTGTCCTAACAGGGAGGCCCCGGCAACACAGATGGTT